CTTCTTGAAATCTTAGTTTGAAGTCATCTGTGTTTATGTTCCGGTTCAGCACTGCCCCTACTTGGGCTTGTCCCCTTGAAAAGATGTACGTATTCACTTATTGGAGCCTCCGTTTTCCGCAAAATACAAAATACTTCCAATTAATAGAACAGGAAAGTTAATATTTCCTAAGAGATGAATTTCATGGGGGAGGGAGGGAGGAAGAATGTCTTTCTTTCTATTTGTTAAACCTTCTTCTGTTCCTTTGAGTGACATAAGAAAAGGAATTCCAGGGCTTAGCCTTGAAAATCCTGCTGGGGAAATGACAGTCAGAGAAACAGAAAACCCCTTCCGTTAGGGTCTCCTAAAGAGGAACTCCCGAGGCCAAAATGGGTAAAGCATTTTAAATTTATTATTACATCTGCTAGCAGGAGGGCGGGGCAGAGTAGGGGGAGCAGGAGATTATGTCACTTGTGAGGGCAGAGTAGCTGGTGGGACAGGTGCAGGTGGGGGCCAGGGGGAGGCGATCCACTGGAAACTGGTGAGGGGGTCACTGAAGAGGAGGCCGCTAACCAGGAGACCTAGAATGAGAATGACAGGACAGTCGTGGGGAGGGGGCAAGAGCCCCCAGCGGAGCATGATGGAGTGCAAGAACGTGCCTAACACCTTCCAGTATGGCAGCGGAGAAATGAATACATGTCCACATAGTGTGGTAGGTGAATTGGTGAATTATAGAGATTCGCCAAAATATCAGTTCTTTTCCTGGGCGGGCTGGAGAATTTGTGACAGCAGGTAGTCTTGCTCATGGCCATGACTTATTGCGATGCAAGAGCCCAGGCAGCCCAGGAGAAAGGTGTCCAAGGCCCAGTACTACGGAGAACAGGGTCCCCATCACAAAGCAGCCAGGTGTGGCAGCACATTTGAAAAGCCCAGCAGGATAGTTACCGAGAAATCAGGAGCAGGTTTTTTACTGGGGGCCAGTCATGTAGACAGCTTCTACCCGGCCCGAACAGGAATTCAGACTGGTAGGAGGAGAGCAGGTCTTTGGCAGGAGTCTGATTGTTTGTATAAAAAGGCAGAGGGAGCTACTTGTGTCAGGGTACTGGGAGCTCTCCCCAGTCCAAGTTCTCACATGCCCGTCCAGGGCCAGCCTCGCAAGCAGGACTTCTGAGGACTTTCTCAGGCCAGCTCTGCTGACACTTCTGCAGTCTGTCCCCTTGGCCCTTGAAAAAGGCATCTTTAAACAAACAAACAAACAAACAAAAGAAAACCACACACATTTCTATTGATTTTTTTAGAGAGAGGAAAGGAGAGCGAGACATAGAAACATCAATGAGGGAGAAACATCAATGGGCTGCCTCCTGCACGCCCCTACTGGGGATTGAGCAGGCAACTTGGGAATGTGCCTGACGGAACTGAATGAAGGGTGACCGCGTGGTGCATGGTCTGACACTCAACTACTGAGGCCCCCCAGCCGGGCTGCACAAGATATCTTTATAGCAAATTTTTATTTTATTTTTTAATATATTTTATTGATTTTTTACCGAGAGGAAGGAAGAGAGATAGAGAGCTAGAAATATCAATGAAAGAGAATCATCCATCAGCTGCCTCCTGCACACTCCCCACCGGGGATGTGCCTGCAACCAAGGTACATGCCCTTGACTGGAATCGAACCCCGGACCTTCCAGTCCACAGACTGACGCTCTACCACTGAGCCAAACCGGTTTCGGCTCTTTATAGCAAAATTATTAGTAGGATCCTCTACAGTAGGGTGAGAACCGCCTGAGTATTGGTTTTCGTTATGCCCTTTAGGAATCCCGGACTTAGCCAGTTCAATCAAATCCCTTTAACTATAAAGGTCTTAGAAAGCTAGGAATGGTGGTGGCGGTGGTCTTCCTCACGTATCTGTATTCCGTTGTGTTTGACCTGGCTTCTGGTGTCAGTTCCCGCACTGCACCACTCTGGCCAGGAAGTTGAAGCTGACCTGAGTGCCTTATCCACAGATAAGACGGCGTCCTGATGGGACACACGCCCGAGAAGCACAGTCCCAGAGGGCACACCTGCTCCCCTGGAAACTCAGGGCACCCCAGCAGGACATGCTGTTGAACTGGTGACCTCTTGGTGCATGGGTTGATGCTCAGACAGCCAGCCAGGACAACAGGCCCCACTGTGTCCTCAGAGTTCTCAGAGCAGACCCAATAATTCAGTCCAGCCCTTGTTTCAGAGGGACTGCTGAGGGGGTCCGTTTCAGACAGTTTTGTTTAGCTGCGGCTCCCGTTCGCCCACCGCAGTGGTGCAGAGGGCACCTGAAGGTGATCTGCCAGCGTGGGCGCTAACGGTTGTGACCTGAGCAGCTTGGTTTCAGGTGATGCTGTGGTAGAACAAAGCCTTAGTCATAGACAGCGGTAACTGACCCCACCAGACCCCCTTGCATCCAGGAGGTTTCCACAGTTCAGGGCCTCACAGAGAGTGTGCGAACCTCCCACGTTCCAGAGTCCAAGTCCTGTTCGTGGAGCCTCCGCCTGCTTTCAGGCCAGCGCAGTGTGTACGGAGGCCGAAGCAGCCCGTCCGGCGCTGATGGGTGTTAGCTCACAGCCAGGCCCAGGAAGTGTGAATGCAAATGCTGTGAGTTCAGAATGCCAGCGAACACCAGCCCGAAGGCTGAGACACTGCAGGGGCAGACAGCTGGCCCACGTGCAAGCAGAAATGAGACGGTCCTTAGCCCTTTTTGTTTGTCTTAGAGTCCAAATTGACTCTGGACAATTGTCAGCCTCTACAGGTCATCAGAAATAGGTTTTTATGCCCTGACCGGTTTGGCTCAATGGATAGAGCATCAGTGGATGAAGGGTCACAGGTTCAATTCAGGTCAAGGGCATGTACCTTGTTTTCGGGCACATCCCCAGTAGGAGATATGCAGGAGGCAGCTGATGGATGTTTCTCTCTCATTGATGTTTCTAACTCTCTATCTCTCTCTTCTTCTCTGTAAAAAATCAATAAAATATAATTATTTTATATTAAAAAATCAATAAAATAATTTTTTTAAAAGTCATCAGTTAGGGAGACCTAATCTTGTTTCTAATACTTAAAGTTTATATTCCAACCCATGCACAGTGGCAAAAAAGCAAGGAAGTTGTGTCTCACTGATACTTTTTCTTTGTACAGATTGGGATGACCCCACTAGCACTGGTGAGGTTATATGGACATACCATTTGCAGCATTTTTTATCATACGTGCAATTGCAGGCATCACTCATTTTAAGTAAAAAATCTCCCCCCCCTTTATTCTCATTGCAGATTCACACCCTGTATTAGTTTCCTAGGGCAGCCGCAGGAAGCAGCCATAGTGTGGGGGCCTTAAAATCTTGTTTTCTCACAATTTCTGGGGGCTGAAGTCCAACATCAAGTTATTGATAGTGTCACGCCCCCTCAGAGCCCCTGTTCTAAGACCATTCCTCCTCTGTCACTGGCAGTCCAGGCTCGGGGCGTTCCCGTCTCTGCGTTCCTCTTCAGGTGCCGTTTCCCCTGTGCTTCTCTGTCCTCAGATGTCATCTTCCTCTGCTAAGGACGTTGGATTTGGACCCATTGTCATGACCTTATTGTAACGTGATTATACTTACAAAGCCCTTATTTCCAAGAAAAATTACATTCATGGGTACCAGGGATTAGTATTTCTTTTCTTTTCTTTTTTTAATATTGGCATTTCTTTTCTTTTTCTTTTCTTTTCTTTTTTATATAAATATATTTTATTGGTTTTGTACAGAGAGGAAGGGAGAGAGATAGAGAGTTAGAAACATGGATGAGAGTCATCCATCAGCTGCCTCTTGCACGCCACCTACTGGGGGATGTGCCCGCAACCACGGTACATGCCCTTGACCAGAATTGAACCCGGGACCCTTCCATCCGCAGGCTGACGCTCTGTCCACTGAGCCACACTGGTTTCAGCAGGGATTAGTATTTCAACGTATCTTTTTGGGGGGAACCTAGATCAATCCATAATAAAGCCCTAGTTATAAACTCAGCGTTTACAAAGATAAAATTACAGCTGTCGGGGAAGGTCCTGGCCAGGATGCAAGGGTGGGTCAGGAGGCTACAGCAGCCCCAGCTGGCTGTCTCCTACCCCCTTCCCCTTGGTTTATCTGAAGTTTTGCTCCAACTCTGGGAACTGATTGAGCTTTTTTTCTCTCTTGATATAATGCAAACTTTTAGCACTTTTGCCCATCCAAAGGTCACCTTTGGGAACTCAGGGGTTTTTTCCCCCCTTGCTAAAGGAGAGAACAAAACTCAAAGGCCTCGACAAAACTGGTTTGGCTCAGTGGATAGAGCATCGGCCTGTGGACTGAAGGGTCCTGGGTTCGATTCCGCTCAAGGGCATGTGCCTTGGTTGCGGGCACATCCTCAGTGGGGGGTGTGCAAGAGGCAGCTGATCGATGATTCTCTCTCATCGATGTTTCTGACTCTCTAGCCCTCTCTCTTCCTCTCTGTAAAAAATCAATAAAATATATTAAAAACAAAAGAACAACAACAACAAAACACTCAAAGGCCTCACCAAAACTATCTTTTTTTTTCTCCTTTTTTTTTGTTGTCATGTAGCCAGCAGGGCCAGAAGCAGCCTACCGATCCAGTGAGCCAGCCCTCCTGGAGTCAGATCTGTCATGTTTCTCTTCTATCAGAGGCCCTATGCATATTTGTACTTACTGCATAGTTTTATATGGCTTACAGATTATGTTATAAATATCCAAATGGCTGGTGGCAGAAAAAACGTTCCCCACTCTTGAGTTAGAGTGTTGGCTCACACACCAAAGGGTCTCGGGTTCCATTCCCAGTCAAGGGCACGTTCCTGGGTTGCAGATTCAATCCCCAGCCCTAGTTGGGGTGTGTACAGGAGGCAACTGATCGACATGTCTCTAATCAATATTTCTCTCTTCCTCAAAAAAAAAAAAAAAAAAAAAAAAAAAAATCAATGGAAAAATATCCTTGGGTGAGGATTAACAAAAAACAAAAATTTTTTTTAAAGTACCAATTGGTAGTTACAAAATAGTCATGGGAATATAAAGTATAGCATAGGGAATCTATATACATAACAGCCTAAGTGATCGGCTGACTGGCCAACCAGCCAACAGGCTGATCGCTATGACGTGCAATGACCATTAGGGGGCAGGTGCTCAGTGCGGGAGCTGCTGAGCAACAGCAACTCTGCAGAGTGCTCTCTCACACTTGGACTGCTGGTTTTGGCCCGATGCCTGCAGGCCGGGCTGAGGAACTCTACCTGCCAGAGGGACCCCGCTCACTCCACAGACCACCTTCAAGCCTCGGTGCTGCCCCGGGTGCAGCTGGCCAGGGAGGGACTGCGAGAGGTCAGCTCCAGGGCATGTCCGGCCTGTCTCGCCCAGTCCTGCCCTACCGGCCACCTTCTAATCAATGTGCACGAATCCATGCACCAGGCCTCTAGTTTATCAGTAATATTGTAATATAACTATGTATGCTGTCAGGTGGGTACTTACCACGGTGATCACTTGGTAAGTTATATAAATGTCTAATCACTATGCTGTACATCTGAAACTAAAATAGTATTGTATGTCAACTGTAATTGAAATATAAAATTATTTTTTTTAAATGTAAGCCCTCATCCAGGTTTTACTTTGGGCTTCACATAGTACTGAGTGATGTGGTACGCAGTAGGGAAGGAGCTGAAGTTGTCTGTGTCACATGGGATTGGTGGTTCATAAAGTGTGAATATTTGTTTAATTTGCAAAGAATTTCTTTAATTTCCCTAATGTGGTCTGAACCCTTTGGTTAGAGAATAAGTCTTGATGTGAACACAGAAGAAATGTAGAGGTAGGTTTATTGTGTTAGTGGCACTTTAAATCCCTGAGGACTTGAGTGTGGACATGGAGTATGAGGTTCTGATGATGAGTTATAGACTAGAAGTCAGGTGAATTGAGCCCAGTTGCTCAGGACTGTGAGTCTCACTCATCCTCCTGCACACATATTGGATGTTTCAGCACTCAGTGGGCTTTGAGGACGTGGCTTTGGACTTCTCCCAGGAGGAGTGGGCTCTGCTGGATGCTGCTCAGAGGGAGCTCTACAGAGACGTGATGCTGGAGACCTTCAGGAACCTGGCATCCGTGGGTAAGAGTGACATTGCTCCTTCCCTTATCACTCGGGAAACATGCATTGTTTGCATTTCAAGACTGTTCCCAGATTTGGAATGTGGAAAGGGAGTACATTAATTATTAAGAAAGACATTGTCATAACTTCCATAGAGCTAGAATCTAATAGCTCCTCCATGAAAATGAGAATCTGTGTATTTAGACTGAGTTTTTCTTTTCATGTAAGAAAAGTGCTATCTGCCGGGACCGGTTTGGCTCAGTGGTAGAGCGTTGGCCTGCGGACTAAAAGGTCCCGGGTTCGATTCCAGTCAAGGGCATGTACCTTGGTTGCGGGCACATCCCCAGTGGTGGGTGTGCAAGAGGCAGCTGGTTGATGTTTCTCTCTCATCGAGTTTCTAACTCTCTCTCCCTCTCAATTCCTCTCTGGGTAAAATCAATAAAATATATATTTTTTTAAAAATCAATAAAATATTTTAAAAAAAAAAGAAAAAGAAAAAAAAAGTGCTATCTGTGGATATAGGTTTCATGGGTTATTAGGCCTCCCAGTAAAGTTTATTTTTGTAACTTTGTGAGAATTTTACTGTTTATTAAATTGCTTACCATTTAGACCTTTTGTATTATACTTGTTATTGGTGAAGTCCTGACACAGCTAACTTTCTCAGTGTCACATTTGGCTAACATTTGCTCCCTTTCTATTTTCAGATGATGAGACTCAATTTAGGTTCAATGGGTCAGATTCTCTGCAGGATATTTTTGTGACTAAAATGTCCAAGGAAGATAAAATAGCGAAGTTCACCAGAAATTCTTGGGTCTCTGTCTTAGGAAAAATTTGGGAAGAACTTAGCATTGAAGATAAGCACACAAACCAGTGGAGAGATCTGAGGTGAGTTGCATTCCTGGAGGAATCTTAGTATGTCTTGAAATTTAAAAAGTAAACAAACTGCCGAAACCGGTTTGGCTCAGTGGTAGAGTGTCGGTCTGCGCACTGAAAGGTCCCAGGTTCGATTCCAGTCAAGGTCATGTACCTTGGTTGCGGGCACATCCCCAGTAGGGGGTGTGCAAGAGGCAGCTGGTTGATGTTTCTCTCCCATCGATGTTTCTGGCTCTCTATCTGTCTTCCTTCCTCTCTGTAAGAAAATCAATAAAATATATTAAAAATAAATAAATAAATAAATAAATAGCAAACAAACTAAGAACCCACATAAGCCTAGATCAAATTTGTATATTCAGATTTTCACACACAAAAGAAACACCTTTATTAAATTTGACTTAGATGTTGAGTGTTAGAAACAGTTAAAAAGAATTAGGACAGAAGCCCATGTTTAGGAAACACTATTTTCATAATGGCTGTGGGCAATCCATTCTGTTCATTCCACTTTAAAACAAATTACTTAGGGTAGAAAACAACATATTTACTGAAGTTGTGAGAATGTAATTCTAATATTAATATTAACAAAAGTATTATTTATTTTTATGTTTTGTTAATTCTTACCTGAGGATATTTCTTCCATTAATTTTTTAGAATGAGTGGAAGGGAATGGGTGTGGGGGGGTGTGTGGAAACATTGATTGGTTGCCTCCCACATGTACCCTGACTGGGACTGGGAATCAAGCCGTTGAGCCTGCAACTGAGGTCTGTGTCCTTGACTGGAATTGAACTTGATACCCTTCAGTCTGTGGGCCAACGCTGTAACCACTGAGCAAAGCCCACTAGGGCAAGAAATTATGATTAGTCAAACTATTGATAACACATTTCTCATTTTTTAACAGAAATTATGTGGTGGAGAGACTCTGTGAGAGTAATGAGCAATATGGGGAAGGCTTCAGTCCGACTTCAGATCTTAATCTGTACCAGAAAGCCTTTACCGATATAAAAGAGAATGAATGCAATACATATGCAAAAGTCTTCATGCATCATTCATCTCTACAGAGTCACATTGCCATTCACACTAGACACAAACCGTATCAGTGTCAGGAATGCGGGAAGGCCTACAGTTGTTCTTCAGACCTAAGAGTACATGTGAGAACCCACAAAGGAGAGAGGCCCTATGCATGTAAGTTATGTGGGAAAACCTTTCCTTGTACTTCTTCCCTCAACCGGCACATAAGGATTCATACTGCGGAGAAAACCTATGAATGTCAGCAATGTGGGAAAGCCTTCATTGATTTTTCAAGTCTTACTAGGCATCTGAGATCCCACACTGGAGAGAAGCCCTATAAATGTAAGGAATGTGGGAAAGCCTTCAGCTATTCCTCAACTTTTCAAAGACACATGATCACACACTCTGGAGAGAAGCCCTATAAATGTAAGGAGTGTGGGAAAGCCTTCAGCTATTCCTCAACTTTTCAAAGACACATGATCACACACTCTGGAGAGAAGCCCTATAAATGTAAGGAATGTGGGAAAGCCTTCAGGTATTCCTCAACTTTCCGGAGACACATGGTATCACACACGGGGGAGACACTACATAAATGTAAGGAATGTGGAGAAGCCTTCGGTTACTTCTCAGCTTTCCGGAGACACATGATATCACACACCGGGGAGAAACCCTATGAATGCCAACAGTGTGGGAAAACCTTCAATTATCTCCAATCCTTTAGAAGACATGGAAGGATTCACACTGGGGAGAAACCCTATGAATGTAACCAATGTGGGAAAGCATTTAGCCATCCCTCGTCCTTTCAAGGACATATTAGAGTGCACACTGGAGAGAAGCCTTATGAATGCACTCTGTGTGGGAAAAGTTTCAACTGGCGCGAATCCTTACGAAAACACATGAGGACACACACTAAAGAGAAGCATCCTGGAGACAAACCGTATGAATGCAAACTATGTGGGAAAGCGTTCTATTGCCACATGTCCTTACAAAAACATATGAAAAGGCACACTGCCGAGAAACTCTACAAGTGCATGCAGTGTGGGAAAGCTTTCAGTTGGCCCGAACTTCTGCAACAGCATGTGCGAAAACACTCCGCAGAGAAACCTTACGAGTGTAAGGAATGCGGGAAAGTCTTCAAATGGCCATCATCGTTACCGATACACATGAGAATGCATACTGGAGAGAAACCTTATGCGTGTAAGCAGTGTGGGAAAGCCTTCAATCGTTCCTCATCCTTAAGAAGACATACGAGAACACACACTACAGAAAAACACTGCATCTATAATGTGGGAAGTCCTCCTGCAAGTGTATTTTCATGAACAGTGCTTCAGAAAATTCACACCAGGAGGGTAGTCTTATGAAAGCTGTAAATATGGTGTTGCCTTTATGAGTATCTCATTATTAAAATGGACCTATCGGTAGTATATTTCCAGTTTTTTTGCAAATAAACATTTAGGTGAAAAATAACTCTCAAAGTACTCTTAGCTATAGTACATAAAATTTGCGTGTAGTGTTTTGTTTTTTTTACATTTCAGTAAACAAAACTTTTGTCATTAGTTTGTTTACTTTAAATGGTCCTGTAAAGGGTTATTGGAACAATGACACTTTATTTGTTGGATTTTTTTACTGACTTAATGTGGCAGATACGGATATCAACCATCATATATTTTGGCCAGAGGAGTCTTCCACTTTTCTTGTGTTTTTGTAATTATAAAGTTATATGAATTGTTGTTTTCAGCTTTTGCCCGCCCCTGTTGTTGTTGCTTGTGATTGGGAATTGGACAGTAGGCATTTACTTAAGAAATCCTTGTGATATCACCATGAGAGAGACAGGGTTTGAGATGGTTCTGTTGGATTGTGCTGTGTCATTGTGGCCAATGGGAATTGCAGGTCCCAGAATCCTTTATGATTCCATGTTCTAATTCACCAGTGGCCTAACTTGGCATCAGATTTGGAACCTGAGCCTGAACCCTAGCCCTAACCCTAACCCTAGATCTAACCTGATGACATCAGCACTACCAGCATGTCCCCTGGCCCAAACCATTATTTTTTGGAGCTTTATTAAAGTGTGATAGAAAGGTAGGGCTTCTAGATGCTAGCTTTCAGCCCCTCTCCCTGGTGTCTTTGCCTGACTGACAAAGAATATCATTAAAAAGAAATGCAAGTGCTTGACTTCCACTCTTCTCAGAGGTACAGGCTTCCACAGACATCTCCATGAGCTCACTCGGTATCAGTGATCCAGACATTTGTGTAGTCAGGTACTCCCAACCTGTATTTTCCCAGGAACTGTAAGGTGTCCTCCAGACCACTAATCCAGACTCATGGTCAGTGACTCTAATACTATGATTCACCCTCTTCTCTAGATTGTAATAGAGTTCATAAAGTCTAATGTGTACAGCACACACTGTTCTTAATATTTTCAGTGGTTCTCTGATCCTGCCTCCACCACAAAAACTATAGTATTGCAGCAAAATAAAACACTTGGGGCTTCGTTGATCTGTTGAATTTTTAAGTGAGCTAACCCAGCTCTTTGTGAGAACACACACCTTCCTCATCTAGCAGCTTTGGGAAAATTTCTGTGACACAGAACTAAGTTCAGTTCCTTCATATGAGTTTAATTTTTTTAAAATGTATTTTATTTTCAAGGAAAATCAACTGGATGGCTTGGGACAACAGAAACTGTTGTCTCCTCGTTCTGTAGGCAGAAGTCCAAAATCAAGGTGTTGGCAGGACCAGCTTCTCTGAAAGTGCCAGGGCAGCATGTGTTCCCCTCTCCCCAGCTTCTGGAAATTCATTGGCCTGAGGCAGCTTCTCTGGAGTCTTCACAGGGCAGCCTTCTCCCTGTGTGCATGCCCGTCTCTTCTCTTTTAACTACTGGATGAGGGCCCACCTTTCTCCAGTATGACCTCATCTTCTACAACAGTGGTCGGCAAACTCATTCGTCAACAGAGCCAAATATCAACAGTAAAATGATTGAAATTTGAGAGCCAAATTTTTTAAACTTAAACTATCTAGTTAGGTACATTGTTATTAACTTAATTAGGGCACTCCTAAGCTGACCTTTGCTAAAAACTCAAGGGGCCAAAGAACCACACATGGCTCTGGAGCCGCAGTTTGCCAACCGCTGTTCTACAACAACCCCGTTTTCTCCCCGTGACCCATCCAAGGCTCCAGAGCCATCTGCCAGTCCCCATGTCCTTTCCAGCCTCTGTGCTCTGCCCAGTCTCAGCCCCGGTGGCCCATGGGAAACGGAGATTTCAGAGTCTCCGCAGACACGCAGCAGCCTTTGAAGAAGTTCTGCAGAGATACCTGGGCTCAGCCCTATTGGAAGGACGCAGGGCAGGCCAGTGGGGCAGAGACTCAGAAGAGGCTGAGTAGGGAAAAGGGAAGCTCAGTTCCTTCCCTGGGTCCTGTGAGAGCCACCTCTGGCTGAGCTTCAGCAGGGGCCGCCGCTGTCTGAGGATTTGGGGCCGCTCAGGGCAGATGGGGCCAGCACATGAGACCAGCAGGCCGAGGGCACTCGGGGCTGGACGCCTTCGCTGTCCTCACTGAGCAGAGTGACAGAGGGTTAACGTGATGAGTGCATTTCTAGAAGAATCCGAAAGCTGCAGGGGTAGCCTGGAACGTCGGAATCCCAGCCACAGTGGGCCCCTGACACTTCTGGCTCAGGTCCGCCTCCTGTGGTTCTGATGAGGAGAGGCTTGTACTGTGGAGGTTCAGCAAGTGTCCTGTCCCATTCCAGGAGGAGAGAGAAGTATCGGGTCGAGTAATAATTAATGTCGTTTTTAAACATTCGTTTAAAATCTTGCTTGGCGTTGACTTGTATTGACATAACCTTCAAACACGTGGTATCTACAGAACGTGTGAAGTGCAATTAACAAGTTTTGCTTGAAAAAGTTTGTGTTTGGTTTGGTTTTTGTTGCAAAACTAGGGCTAAGAAGATGGCGGATGAAGAGCATATTCGGCACTGCATGCTTTACGAGTTGAGTTCCAATTAGGAAGAAAAGCAAGTGAGGCTGCAAAAAACATCAGTAGTGTTCTTGGTCAAGATGCAGTTAGCGCCAGAAAATGCCAGCGTTGGTTTGAGAAATTTCGCGAGGGAAATTTTTCGTTAGATGACAAGAGTGGTCGAGGCTGTGTGTCCAATTTTGATCAAGAAGCTCTTCAAGCTCTTTTGGTGCAAAATCCTCAAATTACCCAACAAGAGCTTGCGACAACTTTAAATTGTTCACAAAAAACAATTTCCAATCAATTGCGTGCACTTGGCAAAGTCCAAAAGTTTGGAAAATGGGTTCCTCATGAGTTGACCGACAACAACCGTAATCAAAGAGTCACAATTTGCAGTTCGCTCCTCTCTCGTCAAAACCGTTTGCCATTTTTAGAGCAAATTGTTACCGGAGAGGAAGAATGGGTGCTGTATGTTAATTTGAAAAGGCGGCCTCAATGGTTGGACAAAAATGAGGCTCCGCGGCCCACGCCAACACCTGACTTGCATGAGAAAAAAGTGATGTGTGTTTGGTGGAATTTTGAAGGAATTCTTCATGATGAACTTTTACCATCTAACCAAACCATTACAAGTGCAGTGTATAGTGCCCAATTGGAAAGGTTAGCCCAAGCTTTAAGAGAAAAAGAACCCGCGCTGATTAATCGGAAGGGCGTAATTCTTCACCACGATAACGCACGACCGCATACTGCAAGAATCACTGCTGAAAAACTGCACCAGTTGGAATGGGAAGTTCTCCCTCAACCTGCATATTCTCCTGATATTGCCCCTTCCGATTACCATTTGTTTCGTTCTTTACAAAACTTTCTTCTTGGAAAAAAATTTAATAATGAAGAATGCCTCAAAAATGCATTGACCGAATTTTTTGCATCAAAATCACAAGAATTTTACAACAGAGGGATTAAAATGCTTTCTGAGCGTTGGGCACAAGTAGTAGAAAACAACGGCAACTATATTGTTGATTAAATTTTGTTGTATTGTTTAAATACAATTTAAAAAGTATTAGAAAACGACATTAATTATTACTAGACCTAATACATGGTGTAGGCTCATCCTGAGGAGATAAGGGCTGTTGCATGGGTGCTGCAGAGGGCCTGGCGGTGTGTCTCTGGAGACATCACCTTTGTCAGTGTGAGTTTGTGTCACATCGCCCTGTGTGTGTTAGAGTTCAGGTGTTTGAATGGTGGTTCCCTTGTCCTGGCTGGAGCCTTTGTGATTGTGTTTTACTGCAGGGCTGCAGTAATTCCTCAGTGTGTTTCCTGAAACCCATATACTGTATGTATATATATATATATATATATATATATAGCCCATAGAGATTTACAAGTGACTTGTATTTAACTTTTAAGATATAGTTATTAGATATTAAATTCTGATAAGTTAAAAAGAAAGTTTCACCCTATCCGATTTGGCTCAGTGGATAGAGCGTCAGCCTGTGGATGGAAGGGTCCCAGATTCGATTCCGGTCAAGAGTACATGCCAGGCTTGCAGGCTTGATCCCCAATGGGGAGTGTGCAGGAAGTAGCTGATCAGTGACTCTCATCATTGATGTTTCTATCTCCCTATCCCTTCCTCTTTGAAATCAATAAAAATCTATTTTAAAAATTTTGTTATTTTTAGTGGGTTTTCATGAATTCCAACATTTCACAGAGTGCTTACTTTTACGGTAACAGAATGACATATGCTGGCAGTAATTTGGACCTCTCTAGTTTTTCTCACCATCTAAATTTCTTTCCAAATATTGCTTTTTTACCCTAGTTTTCTAACAGTGGTTCCACCAGAAGAACTCCTGAATGGTAATTGTCATATGAAATATTTTCGATTGTGATGATTGTTAAAGGAAAAGAACTGATGACACCAGAATGGCTCTCAAAGTGGATAATGTAATGCAGTTAAAACAATGCCATCTTGTTTTTCTGTAAAACACCAAAGTGAAACTGCTATGTGGCAAGAGTATGGACAGGACACAATTTACATTTCAATTTGGATTTATTCAATCTTCGTATCATTTCAGTACAGTTTTGTTCCCAAATATTTAAATTTACATAGTCTTGTTTGCATAAACTAAAAAAATGCAAGCACCCACTGATCATTCCTGCATGAAGACTTTCTTGATCCTTTGTCAGTCTTATACGTTTCTTCTTTCTCTGATCTACCAGATCAGTAGTGGAGCAAAAAGGGAAGAGCAGAGAGCACAGAAAATTTCTACTTAATAAGCGGCCTGTCTTGTCTGACATTAACTTGTTGATTGTGTAACTGTTGAATTTATTTTAATTGTGTAAATGACTATTAGTCCAATTTTGTTTCTTACATGCTGCAATAAACATTTCTGTTCATGCTCAATTTGGCAATGGGCTTGGGTAGGTTACCCAAGTGATGGGTCTTCAAGTCCATTCTGGAAGCTGAACTGGCCCTGAGCCAAGTATGTCCATTCTGGGGCTGAAGCTTAACCCATAACACGTAACTTAAATGCCTGTCACAAATGCAGCACAATGTGTAAATCCTACACGCAGTCAGTCACACCCTGCTTTGCTGGGACTCTCATGTACAGTAATTTTCGATATCATGGCAAGACACCAATGATGGTCCAGCTGACCAGGCAAAACAAACACATGTATTTCAATTTAAGTTTTGAGTGCTTTTTCTTAAATGAGTGAAAATAGGAATACAACCATCTATTATACAGTATTACAAAACTCGGCACCCTCAAAAACGGGTCTAAAAGACATTTCCGTGCAGGGTAATGCGCACACCTGAGAATTCTAACACCTCACACCTGGGGCTCAGAGACTCAGTTCTACACGGAGGCTGGGGCCTCTGGGCCTCGTCCCAAGGAGAAGAAACGGGAGCCCAAGGTTTCCCGACCCCAGCCCCAACCTAAAGTGGGAGGGGGACGCCCCTCCACCCCCCACCCCCACTTCAAAGGTCCTGAGTCAAAACTTAGCGAACTTTGCATACTCTTGTGATATCACAGTTGAGTTGTCTGTCCTTGGAGTGCAGCTCTGAGCCCCAGTGAACCCACCCCCAGGGCAATCCCTGACACCGGAAGTGATCAGTCGTGTTGTCCTACCCCGGGTCGGATCAGGAACGCCACGCGGGAAAACGGAGTCAGTACTTCCCGTTACAGATGGAGGACAAAGGCGGGCGCCCAGCTGTTTTAGCTCCGAACCCCGTGCCTGGCGGCGGCGGGAGTTAGGCAGGGAAGGGCTGAGGCAAACTGCGGCCTTTCCGCCTGGCTCCCTGAGGGACCTGCTCCCCCGCCCAGCACACCAGCGCCGGAAGTCTGTAACGCTGTCCAATGGGAGGCCACGGGGGCGGGGCCAAGGGTAACGTGCCAGAGTCTGGTTTGTGTGGAGATGCGGTATCACCATCCAATCAGCGTTCCCGAAAGATAATCAGCATCTGGTCCAATCAGCGTTCCCGAAGGATAATAAGCATCTGGACCAATCAGCATTCCCGAGAGGAGGAGGACCTGGGTCACTGTCCATTCAGGGTGAATCGCCTGGACAACCGTCCAATCCTGGCCGTGGGCGGCGGGCTCGCAGCCCGCGTGAGCAGCTCCCTCTGGCTCTTGCGGGGCAGGTGCTGCGCTCCCATGTGGGACTTCGAGCGACGCTT